TCTTTGTAGCCCATTTTATAAGTGAGGAAAGAGGCTCACAGGGTTAACTAACATGGTTATCTAGGAAGCAGCACGGCCAGGTTTGGAACCCAGATTTCTCTGGCTACGAAGCCCAAATTTTACTTCACATGGGACAGGAGCACATGCCCAAAATGACTATGCCAAGAAGCGATAGCGTGGCAACCACTCCTAACTGCTCAGCTTACCTAGGGAGGCCAGGCAGCGGGCTGGCCCTAAAGATTCAGGGGGAGTCAGGTACAGATTCCAATCCTTGGGCCTCAAAGAGCAGCACTGGAGCCAGACGAGGCACCCAGGCACACCAGGGGGAGAGCCATGGTCTTCTGGGGGTGACCAGCCTCGTGGGCCATCTGGGAAGGTTCCTAGGGAGACCGTGTCTAAGCCTGGCTGTGTCTTGAGTAACAGAAAGAATTGGGCTGAGAAATACATGGTCAGAGGATCCAGGGTAGGAATGAGCACATCCTGGCCCAGGAATCCTACGGGTGACTCAGGGTGACAGCAGGTCAGGGTGCACCCTCTGACGCGTTGCTGAGGGCTTGTGGTCATTTGTGAGAAATAACTGTCACGCCCCTGTAAGACACATGCTCCTTGCCCAGAGGTGATTTGGAACAAGTCACCATAAAAATTCCATACCACCTTCCCCACCGCGGGAAGTGCTGCACTGTGCCATTTGGAATATGCAAGAATGATTTCTGAACCTGCGGGAGGGAGGATGAGGCTGGTGCTCAAAGCAAAAACACTGGTTCCCATTCATGAAAGCAAGGCCCACTCGCCTCACCTCACCAGCAGGGTTTGAACAACTTCCCTCGACTCTCCCACTGCTGTGGGCGGGCCCACGGGGCTCCGGGGGAACTCAGATACAGAATCAGCTCCGCTTCCCTGCAGCTGCTAGACCCGCTTTTAACACCAAAGGGGAGAATGTCTGATGACAGTCAGGGACACTGAGCAGGTACCCTTCTTATTCTCACCCCAGCGCCATGCCCTCTAATGGCAGTCTTGGCAAGGCATTTACCCTGTCTCAGACTTAGCTCTTCATCCGTGAAATGGACTGACACCAGCCCTGCGAGCGTGTTAAAAAGTAGAGACAGCCCAGGTAAAGGGATTAGCAAAGTGCATGTTACACAGCAAGGAGCGGCTCCCGTGGGGCATGGCTTCAGTGTTTGGACAGGCTCAAGCCTCTGACTAATGAGAGGGCACAGTCCTCTCGTGGCCACGTGCAAGTCCCAGCTTGGAGGGCAGAGCCCTCCCAGCACAATTATAACCAACAGCTATAGTTGTAAGCATCAACCTGTGGTCCGAACAGGCGGCCCCACCTGCCTGAGAGATAGAGTTCAGGTGCATGTAGTTGAGTAGGATCGAAACCCACGAGAATGTTGTGCACATATTGACCACGCCCTTACTTTGCCTCGAGGCATCTGCTATAAAATAAAGACATGGTGTGGGGTGCTGCGCTGTCTCTCAGGAAGCAGCGTCCCACCAAGACCCAGCTTTCATTCTCTTGTCTGTCTTTTCCAAGCCTTTCAGTCTCCCCCACTCAGGGTCACCCTTGGCTGTGCCGACGTGGCACAGGCTCCTTAAACAGCCATTACTATAATTATACCACTATTATAATTCTGCTGTTCTTCCTCCATCCCACACCCATTACCAAACGCATGCCCTCTTCCTACCTCCACTTCCCTTGTCTGTCCTCACCATATAGTAGTACTATACTTTGAAAAAATTCTATCTACTGTCATTCTCTTAAAATTTCCACATAAAAATCTTCTCTCTCCAACTAGATCAAAGTTCTTTAAAAAAGTAGGAAGGAGATGGGTATGGGGAATGGTCTTCTGATATGTCCTAGGAATCCTCCAGAGCATTGGGCCTGGCTCTGCTCACACCACTGAGCACTACAACAACTGATGGTCGGCAAACTCTTTAGTCAACAGAGCCAAATATCAACAGTACAACAACTGGAATTTCTTTTGAGAGCCAAAATTTTTTTTATCAACTTCTTCTAGCGCCACTTCTTCAAAATAGACTTGCCCGGACAGTGATGTTTTGTGGAAGAGCCACACTCAAGGGGCCAAAGAGCTTGTGAGCCGCGGTTTGCCGATCCCGGGTCTATACTGTTACTGTCCTCAATGCCCTGTTGGGAATGGGAAAGAAACTGTGTACCAGGTCCCTGGAGTCTGAGACCAGCGATACATCACTGAATCTAAGCATAAACCTTAAGAAATCTGTCTCAATTGCATTGTCTTCTTTCCTTGGGATAAGACAAAATCTCCTCCACCCCAGAGACTGTTTGGGTCCACAACACTTCCCAGGCTTTGTTTATAAAGCATGTGTGTAGGAACTCATCTTTTCAAGAGGTGTTTGTCCTTTTTGAACATACAGGAGAGTGAAGGGGGGGGGGGGGGTTTATAATAATGCTGGGCCATTGTGTCATTTCCAAAATCCAGAAGATGCTCACACTGAAAGTGCAGTAATTCTGTGAAAAGCCTAAACAGTTGCTGAGATTAGCGACGCAACTCTCTACAACAAGAAGCCAGGAACAAAAAGGCAGGACAGAACAAGCTGTGCTCCAAAGACGCGTCGTGCGTGAGCCCCAAGCAGGGAGGATGTGCCTCCCGACAGTTGTCGGGAGAGTGCACTCACCCTTGCCAGGCTGCTGGACGCCATCACACTCCCAATTCTCTCCTGCACGCGAATACAGAGCTGTATAGAAGAGGAAAGCTATTTTTTGTTCAAGATTTTTTCACAAGCCTTCCTGACTTCTCTCCTTCAGTGATGGGAATATGCATGACATAACCCTTAGCCGTGGCAAAATCAGAGCAGGGTGGCATTATACAGGAGCCTTACCTTTATTTCCTCAAATGTTCTTCACATATCGTGAGAAATTGGGAAATGTAAAATTCAAGTACACTGTAATAAGGAAAGTCAGTTCTATAAATACCAACTAACGTGTCATAACAAACGATTCTGTTGTGATCAAATATTATGCATTTGTCCGTTTTTATGCTGCGCTCTTTGCAGCCCCCTAGTGGTTGGGAGGGGGGAAAAGGAAGAATGGAGTATTCAGATAGCAACCTCATGCTGCAGAGCCAATCAACTTTTTACCCTGGGAAGACAAATGGCTTGTTTCACCATGAAATGAACACACATAGTCTCAGTGGGGGACATGGAAGGTGTTCAAATGAACATAATTGTTCAGGTAAATGTGAAATCGCGTTAGCCCAGATTTTTTTTTTTCTTTTTAATCTTTATTTTCTCTACAAAGCTTTCCATGCTGACCTGAGAACTCCGCAATGATGGGCACACCAGTTCTCCCCACACCAGTTCTTCTTCCCACTTGCTGTGAACTCCCCTGTGTGTAGACATTCGCTTATAAATATACCATTCCCTCTATTACAAAGTAATGGAAAATCTCCAAAAATAATCATTTGCCTGTTTAGCCCAGTGTCTATAGTGGGGAAGAGGTTTGGAGTTCATTGGTTTATATTTGTTTCACCAAAGCACCAGTCTCTCTGGATTCAGCAACTCGTGTTCATAATGAATTTTTGTTTCCCCAAAAATGAAATGGCCCCTCCAGCCAAGGGGGAGGGGGAGAATTCGATGAAAAGAAATAGGATGCCTGCTTATAAAATAGTTTTGAAATCATGTTACCAAAAAAGTGAGAGATTACAGAATACACAACAACTCTCCTATTCACACATTTATCACTCTCAAGTTGCAAGAAAGACAAGCACTACCCAGGCCCAGAGGAGGTTAATGGTCTGCCTCTCTGCCTCTCTCTCTCCCCTCATCTTCCAAAAAGTAATTAAACCCGGTATACATTCCCTCCCTGACTGGTAAGCTATGGCTCAAAGCCAGTTTGCAAATCAAGCTGCCTCCAATAGGGAGCCTCTTTACCTAAGGATGAAAACCCTTTCAAACCTCGAATGAGGGTCGGCCAAGATTCCCGTGACCATGTTATGGTACCTGGCCGATGTGGCCACAACCCTCAGGTCAAACGCACGCCGGCGCAGAGAATCAACAAGTTACCACGGAACCAGGCGCTGCAGCCCAGATCGGTATTGCCTCCCCAGCGCCCACTGCCACCTAACAGTAACCCCACCCCACCCTCTGCCCCATCTACTCCTCCCTAGACTCTCTCCAAAGGTCCTTTAACACGTGACCTTCTCTTCAGACCCGCCCTCCCGGCGCCCCCACCCCGGCGCTCCCCGGGCTCTCCAGGCGGCGGTCAGACTCCGCCGCTCGCCAGCCCGGTCTGCAGACAGCGCCAGGCCTGTGCCGCGATCGCGCTTTCCCGGGCCGGATGGATAGGGAGGTCGAGATCTCCTACCGAACGGGGCGGCCGGCTCCTCCGCCCACCTGCGCCCCAGAGGAGTGGAGAGCGTCACCTGCCGCACTTCTCCCCGACTTCACCCCCCATCCCCCCCACTGGCACTCCCGGAGGGCGCGTGTCCCCAAGGGAGCAGACCCGCCCAGGGGAAAACTGGGGCGAGCCAGGGAGGGGAGAAGAGGAGGGAAGAAGGGGTTCCCCTGGGGGCCATAAGTTCCCACCCCATCCCCGAGCTGGGAGCCGAGCTCGGCTCCCTCCTTGGAAGGCACAGCCGCCGATCCCTCCCTCCCTGCGGGCAGGAGCAGACCACCGCCTCCCCTCCCCGCGCCAGCCCCGCTCCCGCCGCCGTGCCCAGCCGGCGCCCGCGACTCCCGGCGTCCCCCCCCTCCTCCCCAGCAAGGCGGCCCCCGAAGTTGTCCAGACTCTCCAAAGCTCGCTCCTCCGCGGCCCCTGGACCCCGCCCCGAAGTTGGGCCGGCGCCTGCAGGTGGAACCTCTCGGGTCCCCCGGCGCAGGGCGCTCGCTCACTTCGGGGATCCCGGCCGCGCCCCGAAACCCGGGGAGCTGCGGCAAGGGAGGGCGCACGGACACATGGAGCGTGTGAGCCGGGTCCCCGCCGCCGGCGCCCTCGGAGGGAAGGAAACTTCCCCAGCACCCACCTTTCGCCGCGAGGAGGCGGCGCCGCCGGCTGCTGCCTCCGCCGCCTTCGCTGCCGCCGCCGCTCCCCACGCCCAGCGCCAGCAGGAGCGGCACCCAGCTCAGCCGCCCCGGCAGCATCCTCGCCGCCGCCGCCCGGGGCTGTCTGCCGCCCGCGCCCGCGCCCGCGCCCGCCGGCTGCGCCTCGGTGTCCGCCCGGCCGCCTCGCCGCTCCCGCTGTGCGCGCTCCGGGCGCTCGGCCTCCGCTGCCGCCGGTGCCGCCGCCGCGCCGCGCCGCTCGCTCGCCGGCAGCCGCCGCGCTCACTGGCTCGGACCCCGCGCGGCTCCAGCGCTCACCCCGGGACGGCCCGTGACGTCACGGGGGGAGGGAGGTGGCTCCTGCATATTCATGAGGCGCGGACTGCGGTCCCGGCCTCCGCGCTCCCGGCTCCGCGGCCCCGACCCCAACTTTCCTCCTCCGCCCTCCCGGCGGGCGCTCCGTCCGCGCTCCAGGCGGGACCGGGCTCCCGGAGCCCCGGGGGCGGCCGCGGGGAGCCCTCCGCCCGGCGCCCCAGCTCCGGCTCTGCAAATAGCTGCCTCCTCCGGGGATGGCGGGACCCCACCCCTCGGAAAGGGGTCACCCGGGGCCTGAATCTGGTCCGCGGGGGCGCCGGGGACCTGCCCGGCCACACCCTGGGAGCTGCTGTCCACGCGGAGGGTGGCGGGCGTCGCTGCGGGTCTTGCCCTTGGCGGGGTGTCGGGGAGCTCTCTGCCGTCTGGTCTGGGGAGGGCGCCAGGCCCACGCGAGAGCTGGAAAGCGGGAGTGTGGCTCCGAGTTGTACGGCCGGGTGAAGCCAGGGCTGCGGTGGCTCTCAGAGGCTGATACACCAAATCAGAAAAGGCAAACTTGGGGCTGCCGGGCCTGCTGACGGTTCCGTGGGAGCACACACCAACTTCCCCGCAGCATGGGGCCCAGGCCAGAAGGCCCACCTTTATGTGATCACGCCACCCATCTTAAGGCCGGGCCACCTGACATCAAGCATTGTAACAAACACCTAATGCCCCCGAGGAATGTCAGTTCTCTGCGCACAGGGATCCGGCTTCGCTTAGCCCAGACCAGGTTCATAAAGGTTCTCAGTGAACATTAACTGCTAGCTCAGAATAAGTCCTTGACCATATTTGCATATATGTAGTGCCAATATCATACACAGTTCAGGGCTTATAAAGAACAAATAGCGAAATAAGACAGAGAAGTAGATAAGTGAAAAAAAAAAAAAAAGTAGTTATTTATTCATTAATTGAACACATTTACCATCACCCTGCCAGATTAGACAGTAGAGATCCAGACCAAGGAGAGCTGTCTGTCCTCTCCTCAACGCCTTTGTTCCCGTCTGAGAAGCAAGAGAGGGCAGTAAAGGGCAATCATCATGCTTTGTAAGTGTTATGGGCCCGATATTCTTTATATTGCTAGATATGAGCTTATACACTTCAATTAACAAAATGTATATATTACAGCAATGTCTAAACACCATTCTATAATTCGTAACTGTAGGTTGGGGTGCTCACCAAAGCCATAAAGTCCATTCACAGCCCTCCTGCTGCTCAGCCTCTCTGCTCCACCCTGACAGCTCGCCAGGAGACCCCTCAGTTCTGCAGGCCAGGTTGCTTGGGGGAGTCTGGTGGAGAGGCAGCCATGAATCATGGAGGCTTATATCGGGCAGAGCGCTTGACTGGCAGGTCTCCTTTAACCCACACAACTGACATCTGCGCTTTACTAGTATTTTCATTGCACACATGAGGAGATGGAGGCTCGGATTAGTTAGGTGACTTCCTTGCACAAGGTCAAAGAGATAATAAATGCCCTGAGCCAACGCTAGGGTCTTGCCTTTTTTCAGACTGAGTGTCAGGATTCAGAGAAGATGGCCTGGGGAAAAGGGGAGCAGACCTGACACCATCAGGGAAACCGACAAATAGAAATATACATTTGTATCATATTCCTCAATTTATGCTCCCTCCAATTACATATCTGCCTCCCCTTCATTTTCTCTAATAAGAAGGCTTACCTTACCGTCTTACCTGCACTGTGCCTCGATGCCATTCTACTGGGTTTCATTGGGACTAATTGGTTAGTCCTAAAAATCTTACATGAAATTTCAAGTGAACACCAAATAATGGGAGAGAGGGAGAAATATTATAGCTTATTGGGAAATACTTCCAACTCATGTCGTAGATCACTACTAGTAAGAAAGTACACAGAAGAACCAGACACTAGGGAGCAGGCCAATGCCCAGGACTAGAGGCACAGCATTGCTAGCCTCCATCTCCTCCTATGCAATGGAGGTAATAATGATGCCTGTTGCGTAGAACAAGTACACTAATGGCCCCCTTTGTTCATGCCTTTCTGAATCCATTCCCTCTGGATGTGCTCTCCCACCCTAACTCGGAGCTTGGCCACATGACAGTGACATGCATGTTTCCTCTTCCTTTTTTGGACCCCTGCCACCACCATGAGAACAAGCCCAAGATAACCTATAAGAAGGTAAAAGACCACATTGGATGGAGCTGAGCCATCTCAGCCAGCCAAGGCCATCCTAATCTGGTCTATTCCAGTTGCCCCATAGGTTGACAACCAGAGCAAAACCAGCCAAGAACAGCCAAGCCTAGATCACATCAGAGCTGCCCACTAAACCACTAATATCTTAGGGTAGTTGATGAAGGAGTGTTACATCTTCTCCTAAGGTCATTGTAAGAAGCAAATGAGAAAATGTATATAAAAACTCAGTATGCTGTCTGGCACATAGCCAATTCCAATAAATGTGTCCCTATAATCCTTATGTCCCAATCTCTGAAATGCCAGTCACAACCCTGACTTGCTTTGTTTGGGAGAAAGGCACCAACAACCTTGCCTAGAAGGGATGAAGGTGAATAAGTTCACTCCTTGGAAATACTCAGTCCACAGGAGCTTCAAGACCACGTCATCTGTATGAAGCTCTGCTGTGTCCTCTGCTTCTGCTGAGCTACTGAAGTTGCAAAAAGTGAATAAAACAACCCAACAGCTAATGCATCCCCTTTCACTCCGTGCCAGGCTTTGCCACCAGGTTTTACGTTGCATACTTCATTTAACCCTTACAATAACAGGTATTATTCTCCCTATTTTATTATATCCAAATTACTGGATCACAAAGTTTTAGAAATTTATCTGCGTCCACATAAATTGTGCAGAATATGGATTCATGTCTGCCTGATTCCAAATTCCATCTTTCTCCCACATATCATGGTTTTGAGTGAAGCATGCAAGGAAAGTAAGAAAAAATAAATTTAAAAAAAAAAAAGTTTCAAATCAGAGATGGTATCCTGGGGGACGGGATGATTTTTAAAATCTCCATCCATTATCACCTCTGCATAACGATCATTTATATAACCAATCGTCACCAAAGTGATACAAACTTCTGAGTTTGTTGAGTCTGCCCCCTTTATTCTTGATTCACCTCTGGGACATGTTTCTTTAAAGCCCCTGCTCAAAAAATGATCAACAGGATGATGTAAGGCCTTGGCCTCTTTAAGCCTCAAGCCCAGGGCCCCACCTGGTGATGCAGAAATACAATAAATCTTAGACAATTTATTTGGGTCAATGGTTTCAAATAAATAACTCTCCTGTTCAAAAAAAAAAAAAATGTAACAGCAACAGGCATGATGTAAACACAGCCATTTCATCTCGTTTTCACCAGGGTCATTAATGACTTGCCCAATTAAGCACTAAAACACAGACCCTGAATAATTTAGACTGGCTAAATGAAGAAAATAAATAAATCATACCAGCTTATGAAAACTTACTTTTAAAAAAGAAAATTAAACTGAAGCACTTATCTTTGAAAGAGAGGCTGAAAAGCTGATTCGTAAAACACTGGGAGTCATCGGGGCCGGCAAAACCAGGTCTTCAGGACCCACAAGCACCTGGACAGGTGACAGAATTTTCAGTATTGCTCTCAGGTATTTTGGTGCTATGCAGATGCCGCTGCTGCCAAGCAGCTTTTTAAAGTTCAGACATTTCTCTTCAGGAAAAAAGCAAGGAAGCTTGTTCACGATCAAATCCAGCTGATGTTCGACATTGTTTAGACACGAGTGTTCTATGCTTGGTAAGGCAGAGTGACCTAACCAAAAACAAAGATGTCATTGATTATAGCAAGAAAGTGTTCCTGTGGTGGCATAAAAAAAAAAGAAGCCATAAAAGTGAGTGATACTTCTCCTATTGAGGGATGGGAGCTCTCTCTCTCTCTTCTCCTGGAATCTGAGCAGCCTTGTGACTGCCTCTACTGGTTCAATTCAGGAGAAGCCGTGCTATGTGACTTCCCAGCCTAGATCATCGAGGTGATGCAGCTTCTGCCCTGTGCACTAGGATGCTCATTCTGGGAGTCAGGAGCCTTGATGTCCAACCACCCTGAGACAGCCATGCTGTGAGGATCGGAAGCCACGTAGAAAGGCTCCATGCAGGTACATTGCCTGCCCCTGGTGAGTCCAATGCTTGAGTCACCCCAGAACCTCCATATATTCCATTTCCTAGCTGCTGAGTCACCCTCAGCTGTTTGAATCTTCCTAACTGAGCCTCAAACATCAAGAAGCAGAATCAAGCCATTCCCAGGGTGCCATGAATTCCCAACCCACAGATTCCATGAGTCTCAGAAAACGATTGTGTATGCCATTGAGTCAAGCTGTTCTGCCTCCAACTGGGAAATACTTGTTTTCATTCATTCCCTACAACAAAGGCTGGGGAAAGGGAAATATGTGAGGTAATTCATGTGTAATTAATCCCATTTTGTAGTGCAAATGTTGAGACTTATCAAAGCTCTAAAAGGGACAGGAGTTGCATGGAAAAAAAATGATTTCTAGAGTCAGAAAAGCCTAAGTCCCAAACCCAGGTCTACTGTTTGACCTGAGAAAGCTACTTACTCTGTTTGAACCTTAGTTTCCCCCTCTATAAATTGGAATTCATATAACAGGATTGTTTTTGAGGTTAAATGAAGGGTAAAGAGCTTTCCCTGTCAGATGGTAGAGACACAGGAAATACAGTCATTGACAGTGATAGTGGAAACTCACTCAGGGCCACACAGATAGCTTTTTTTTTTTTTTTTTTTTTTTTTTTTTTTTTTTACCAGTATTTGTGGTTTCCTATGCAGGCAAATGTGGACAGATATGGACACACATGGAACCATGCCAGCTTCAGCCCTACCA